GGGCCTTATTACTATGATTTGAGGTACAAACCTAATATGGGAGCTTGATTAAGAACTTTCGGTCTTTGGTAGTGCTCTTCATATAGATCCTAATATATTGGGTTACATGAATAGAGGTGCATTAAGAATTCGAATAGTTTGGGGTATATTCTAGTATAGTTATTATAAGGAACCCAAACCCTTGTTCCAATTAAAGCCCTTCATCAGAAAGGAGGAGAGGTACAGGAAGCCCCCCAGTACCCAAACACGGGACGCAGGCGAAGTGGCTGCCCTCGACTACAAGCATCAGTACCTTTCCTGTCCTATTCAAAGGGTCATGGGACTTAGGAACTTGGGTTATAAATAAGGTAGGTAGCTATACCTACAATTACTTAGAATCTTAATTAAAGTGGTTATGTCCTTACTTACTATTCCCGTGATCCTCCAAGTATCCCTAAAACTCGAAGTCCTAGAAATGAATAGAAATTGTGTGTCTTTGTTCACCTTGCAACCCCTAAACCGTCAATTTCAGCCGCTAGTTCCCGAAAAGCCCCAGCCCCAGGCCCAGCCCATCCCAGCCTTGCCCCCCCAGCCCAGCCCTGCCCAACCCAGCCAAGCCCCAAAATCGAAATCAGGTTCCACAAACAAAACGTTGCGCTCCACACTTTCGGTCAACACTTATCGGTGCCCAAACCCTCAACAACGTTTACATCCGAAAACCCCTCTCCTACAAGCCCCAAGTGTGTCCAGACCCAGAAGACTTCACGGCCGGCCCATGAGGTCTACGGTAAATGGAACCCTAAACCCTAAACCCTAAACCCTAAAACCCTAAACCCTAAACCCTAAACCCTAAACCCTAAAACCCCGAACCCTAAGGGGCTGCTAGGCTTTCTGGTGACGTTGAGCGCCCTCAAACCAAGGGTTCCTTACCCTAAGGGTCCATATATAACACTATTATGGAATTAGGTCCCATAATATGAATGGTCTTTTGGGACCTAATTCCATAATGGTAGTATGTATGGACCCTCTGGGTTACTATGAGTATAAGGCATAAATATGGAGGGCCTTAATAATTAGACTAGGGTGTGGGAGGTATATGATACTATAATTACAAAAAGGAGCCCCCAAAGCCCTCTTCTAATTATT